TAAATAAGAAGGAAGGTCAGATTAATTTATCCTAATAAATAATGATAAGTAGTTTAAATTCGAATAAATATGACTGTTTTTATGTAAGTGGAGATAAAAAAAAATTGGTTTAAGAAACAAAAAAGAGGGAACAACTATATTTATGTAAATATCATGTTACATAATTGGTTTAAGAAATTACGCTTAGTAACATGTCAATAAAAGGGTATTTATGTAAATATCAAATGATCATTACAGAGTGAAATAATTTTAGGATTGATAATTATATATTTTTTAAATCTTTATGCCGAAAGAAAAAAATTAAATGAGAGGGAGAAAAGAAGGGATAGATAATTCATTCTTAGAAGAGATTGGATCATTCTCACTTTGAATTTGATTAAATGGATCAGAAGATAAACAAAAAGAAAAAAAAAAACCTCACAATTTACCTGAGGAAAGAAGGTAAGGGACCATTTTTATTTAGAATCATTTAATTTTTAAAATAATAATAATTTAAAAAACTTTTATAATAATCCCACTAATTTTAAAACAAAACATTAAGGTTATCTAAAACTATTATTATCTTTAATTTTAGTGCCGGTTTTGGATCTTTTCAATCAGCTTGACTTTTTGAATTTGAAAGCTTATTTGAGTAGAATTTGCGAAAGAGCTTGGATCTTGGCATTTATATATATAGTCAGAAAGTCTAATTTTTCCTTCCTAAAATTACTTAGCATTTTTTGGAATCTATGTAATGTTACATTAATGCCCTAATTTTGGTCCCTATGTTAGCCTAATTAATGGGTCATTTTCGTAGGTATTTTAGACAAACACAAAATGGGAAGGGCCTATTGTGTGGGGAGGTCAGCTTTCCCCTTAATGACTCATATCTCACGACGCCGTATTGCAGACACCGATGACCGATCATTTAAAAGGAAAGTTTGGCGGGGAATATAGCTCCATCCTCATCATATCTGTTGTCAATCATTATTACATCTCTTCCGTCTCTTTCAGATTTAGGGCTCTGCAATACCTTAAGGTAATTTTCTATGTATGTATAATTGTATATATTTGTATGTATAACACATTTTCATTTCTTTCAATAAATCTGCTCTGTTTCTCTCAATCTGTATTAATTTAATTCTAGGGTTAGTGTTTGAGCCCTTAGATTGTTAGTTTCTTTTAGATTAAGACATTTTCTTTAACTGATTTAAGAAATCCTCCCCCCTCCCCTCTCCTCTCTCTCTCTCTCTCTCTCTCTCTATATATATATATATATATATATATATAGTGAATACACACGTGGATTAAGTTTATGTTCGGAGGAATTCATTCTGGATCAATTATTTGATTTTGAATTTTGCTTGCTATCTTTTTGGTTCTCAATCTACTATGCATACATGTTCACACTCATTATCTTGTTACTGAATTTTATTGATTTAACTTGTACAAAGTCTAGAAATTTTGATATAGTCCATGTTTGTAGACATTGAAGTGACAGTAATTTCCATTACATCTGATTTAATTTTTTTTTTTTTTAAATTATTACTATAATAGATTGTTATTTCTTGTTAGATGAAAAGTGGAACTTGGAACACGATTATCCGGAACCCATTTTAAGTTGTGAGAATTGGATCATTTATGACAAACTTTAATAATACTTCTAAATTTTTCATGAGCTAAAAATGACTCCAAATCTTGAAATAGGTGTAACGAGTTGAATTCGGGACAGGGTTGGGTTAAATTAAATTACTATGGTTCAGAATAACAATAAATAAATCTTGAATTAGTGTGGTGTGAGTGTTGCTTAAAGTGAAGCATTTTAAAAAGCTGTTTAATCACCAAATAAATACAAAGTAAATTGGTATACAATTTATTCAACTACCATATATCTAAAATCTCCATTCTAGCTAGATATAATAACAAAGAATAGGAAAAGAGAATTCATGTGCCCTACCTCATTAATATGGAGTTAAGGCAAAGATTGTGATGATGATTCCCGCTAGATTAAAAGGGAAAACAGAAGGCAAACGGTATGAAAAATGTAAAAGTTTCTTCTTCAGTGTCCCTCCTACATTTTTTTTCCCTTTTTTCCCAAGCATTTTCCATGGTAACCAAATAAAGAAGAAGGATTTCCTCGACAATTCTTATCTTTTTCCTTACTATATCAGGGAATTACATAACTGCTAGAAGATGATAATAGTATATGATATGCTTTCTTAGAGATCGATACACACAATGTGTATCATAGCGATGAATAAATCTTGCTTATGTCTTTGAAGTACTCTTCTATTTCTTGAGCAAAAGACACACTCTCTCTCTCTCTCTTCCTCTCTTGCCCTCTCTAATAATATTAAAATATAATCCCATTACATGTCTTTACTTCTTCTAGCTCTTGTTGTACTTGTGTTCATGGTTCTAACATGGTGTTAACACCTCTTTTTCCCCTCATTATTATACTTCACATACTATCCTGTTTATATAAAATCTTAGCCTTTGCTTAGGAAAATTTTGATGCTACATAACATAAATAAGACCATGAATCTTAACCGTATTATTGTCTAATTACCTTGAATTTCCAGAAAATGGTTGGTTAAAGACTTAAAAGTAACAATGAACCAATAATCAAGGAGTCATTTTGTAACTTGGAGCTGGCTTGGGAGGATGTTTTCAGAGCTGTCATATTTAAAATTAACAATAAAGTAGTAATCCAGATGATACACACAGTAAACTAATTGACTGGCTCCATTATATATAATCAAATTTGCAAAAAAAACGTAATAAATATTTTGCCTTTTTAAAACTTATAAAAAAAAATATATATTTTTTTCCTTTTTAAGAGTGAAGTTATGCATTAAGAAAATTACTAATTATTTGGAGAGTGCTATAGTGAATTCACCACAAGCTAGGAAGCACGGACTGGCCTAAAAGGGCAAAGAATTCGTGTCGGACATTGACATGCGCCGGGCACTTCCCGACATGTATCGGACATGCCAAATATCCATTTTGTTTTCATATATATTTTTTAATATTTGGACATGGACACGTCGTAGACACACCTTTGACATAACCATGGATATGTGCCCGACAAAGCATGTTGCATTCTTGGGAATTTTCAAGAAAGTTTTAGAAAGAAAGCTCGAAGTGTAAATTTGAAGAATTGTTTAATAACTTTCAATAATATGGCGGTCAATACATAATTACTTAAAAGTTGTTGTCTTATAAAATAATTTTATGTTAAAATAATCAGATATTTAGGTTTAGATTTTAGTTCAATGGTTCATACTCTTGCGCGATCAACTTTAGTTTAGCTCTTTCTTGTTCTCCCACCGACCAAGCTTCTCTGCGGCTCTCTCTCTCTCTCCTCTTACTCCTCTTTTCTTTCTTTTTCACAAACCCTATATATTTCATTTTTTTTTTTCACAACAAAATTCTTTGTTGTTGTGGTTGATTTTTTTTTTTTCCCTACAAATTCACACCTTTATTTTTAAATAAGCCCTAATTTTGTTTTCTAACAATACCTTAATTCTCTTTGTTTCTTTGTTTTTTCCTTTTTCTTACTTTTCCTCAGCAAAACACAATTTTTTTTCATTATTAGGTTAATAAAAAAGAATATTTCTCTTAATTTCTTAAAGTATATTATCATATGTATATAATATAAAATATTTACCATTTCCTGTATCTGTGTCCTAATTTTTAGAATTTTCCTTGTCTCCGTGTCCATGTCGTACGTCTGTCCCGTATCGGTTTCCCAGCTTCTTAAACCACATGTTACTGTACCATCTTAGAGTTTTAGTTAATAAACAATTGTTAAAATGGTTAAAAGTATTAGCATGACATTTAACAAAGAGGAATAAGTAAATTACCGACTTACTAGACTAATAACAACTTCACCCCCGCTTTATTTTTCTAACAAAGGAGATGATAAATAACCCCTCAAAAGTGGAGCGTGAGTGCGGTTTTAAAAATAATTATGGACTATGACAATGTTTTGAAAGATTTCGTGTTATTTACTTTTTTCTTTTTCTCAACAAATAGCACACCCACCTGTTACGATTATTTATCTTTTCACTTTAAAATGTTGAGGAGATCCGATTGACTTATACTTTTTAAAATAAGTTTGACACTTTTTTTTGGTATATTGTTGTGCAATTGTAAGATGATTTTAGAACAGGCATATGCTAACTAGATTAAAGACATACAATTTGGATATTCAATTTTGAACACACTTCTAGTGACAAGAGTGCGGTTTTAAAAGGAAGTTTATATACAATTGTTTAAGTTTTCTCTATCGCTTTTTTAATTTTTAATTTTTAATTTATTTTTTAATTTTTTATTGGGGTTCTTTCAATATTTTTATTCTCATGTTTTTTTGGTAAAAAACTTCAAGGTCCTGTGTAGAAAGAAACAAGTAATGTTAGTTTAGAGAAGGTGGTTTTGTTGTATTAGGAAAGGAGAAAAGTTAATATGCAATATCACCCTCAAATTATATATAAGGATCACTCTACTTGGTGTGGAGAAAGTTTCTTGCTTACCGGTGAGCAAGTGTTCAATTCTGTATATATATATATATAATCTTTTTCTTTTGGTCATAAATAAATAATCACTAATCTGTTACAACACCTTAGTTCCATCATTACATCTCTTCCTTCTCTTTGACAATTAGGACTAGTTTCACTCTGCAATTCCATGAGGTAATTTTTCAGTAATTTTCTATATTAAGTCTATGTTATGAGGAATTAATTTTAGATCAATTGTTTGATTTTCAATATTACTTCAAATCTCTTTGGTTCTCAATCTACATTTCTATAGAATCACTGATCATGCATACATGTTCACACTCAACTCATTGTTACCTGAAATATAGTGAATATGCATTATAAACATGATTGGTATTTCTTTTACTTACTTGGCCATTCTTTGTTATTTTCTTAACATAATTGCTAATTTATATAGGTTTCAGGTATATGTATTGGCTTTACCACAAAAGGAACTAGAAAACAATTTCAGAAGAACACATCATGTTCACATTCGCGTTATTTCTTATAATCATCGGCACTATGGTTATATCCATCGTCCCATTCATGTTCTTAATTGTTAGAGCAGCTAGAAGAGAGATGCACTTATGTGCTGCACTCATAAGACAAATGGAATCAACCCAACAAGCAGAAAGAAAGAGTATGAACAAGAGTCTCGCATTTGCAAGCGCAAGCCATGACGTGCGTGCCTCTCTAGCCGGCATTACTGGTTTGATAGAGATATGTCGCGAGGAAGTTGCCCCTCTGTCAGAATTCGAAACAAATTTAATGCAGATGGAAGTTTGTATAAATGACCTTCTGGGTATGTTTACTAACTAGTTTTCTATTTCTTCGTAACATTTTTTAAATTCAATTGGAAAGTCTGCACATTGATAAAGATTTATGTCATTAATAAGAAATCTAAAATGTGTTTATCCAGGGTTATTGAATTCAATTCTTGACACAAGTAAAATTGAAGCTGGCAAGATGCAACTTGAAGAGGAGGAATTTGATCTGGCGCAGTTTCTTGAAGATGCCGTTGATTTACATTATCCTGTAGGAATGAAAAAAGGGGTAGATTTGGTGTTGGACCCTTGTGACGGTTCCATTTCTAAATCTGCACTCGTTAAAGGTGACCGGGGAAAATTGAAACAGATATTGTGCAACTTACTGAGTAATGCTGTCAAATTTACCTCCGAGGGACATGTAACGGTTCGAGCTTGGGCAAAGAAACCGAGCTTCAAGAATTCAATACTCGATTCCAATAGGAAAAGTTCATTGAGTTGCTTATCATGCTTATTTTTTAAGAACCATGAAGCATACAATGACCCTGAAGTTGAAGCCATGAAAACAATCCAACAAAATTCAGATTGTCTGGAATTTGTGGTTGAGGTGGATGATACAGGAAAAGGAATTCCGAAAGAGAAGAAAGAATCTGTATTCGAAAACTATGTCCAGGTCAAAGAGACAGCTCTTGGACAAGGAGGCACTGGCTTAGGACTTGGTATTGTTCAATCTTTGGTGCGTCAATACTTAGCCCTAATAATTTCAGCTAAACTTAAGCCGGTTTCAACTACTCAATTGTGTTGCATTTGTTTTCCATCCATAAAAGCACTGCCAAAATATTAGATTTCCCTTCTATTACGTGTTCCGATTTTTCAAAATATTAGATTTTCCTTCTATTACTAGGTTCAGTTTTTTTTTTTTTGCACGAATTAATTGCCAATATTTGAAAATGACTTGGAGTATTTTTAATTCAGATATTTTTTCCCACTAGGTACGTCTGATGGGTGGAGAGATACAAATTGTGGATAAGGAAATTGGTGAAAAGGGAACCATCTTCAGGTTCAATGCCTTCCTCACAACATGTACTAGTAGCTATGCAAGAGAAGATGTCGAATCACATGGTGGTTATATATCCAGTGATTCATATCAAAACTCAGGGCCAAGTAATTGCACCCCCAGCCCAAAGCCAGAGTTGTCCCAAGTCATACTCTTCATTCAAAGCGATGAACGTCAAAGAACTTCACAAAAATTCATGGAGAGCCTAGGGATAAAAGTGCATGCAGTAAAACAATGGGAGCAACTTCCTCATTACCTGAAGAAGATAAAACAGAAACTGAACTTTTGGTGGTTCAGCCCTTCAGGAAGATCAGATGTGAGCTCGAGGAGTGATTACATGAGCAGAACGGGTACTAGAGCAAAGGATTTGCCTTTAAGTGCCATGGATGGGTCAGACCAGATACCACCCGTTCACAGGAGGACTAATTATAGAGGTGTGCCCAACTTCATACTAATTGTGATTGATACTAATGCTGGACCATTTCGGGAATTAAGCAAGGCTGTGGCTGAATTCAGAAGAGACCTTGTTAATACTTTCTGCAGAGTTGTTTGGATAGATAAACCAGGTGCTCATAACATCCATTCGAAAGGCCTCAATGGGGACAAGCTCCCTCCAACCGATCTCATCATATCTAAGCCGTTACACGGCTCTCGTTTATATCATCTGATTGGACTTCTACCGGAGTTTGGAGGTACATTGCAGTGTAATACAACCGAAACAAGGAGGCCAAACAAGTACCAAGTTGAAAAAATTTCTTCCGAGTCCAAACAAGGAGGCCAAACAGGTAGCATGAGCAGTGATCAGCAACCTTTGAGTGGGAAAAGAGTGTTGGTTGCTGAGGATAATGCCTTGTTGCTTAAGCTGACTATGTCTATTTTATCTCGGCTTGGTGCAACTGTTGAACTCTGTGAAAATGGAGAAGCAGCTTTGGAACTGGTTTGCAAAGGTCTAAGTGATCAAAGGAAAAGCAGAGCTTCTGGGGTTCTTCCTTATGATTATATATTAATGGACTGTGAGGTAAATGATTGTTTCTCTCATGCATCTCTGCATATCTTATTGCTTGTTCTACTTAGTGAATGCACACATAAATACTAAATAGTATAACTCTTGGTGACAATATTCCAAACCCACATTTTGTATACTTGCATTCAGTTTTCAAGAAAGGAAGCTAGCCATCCAAGTTTTGTGTTATATCATATGGGTATTTTTTTATTTTTTATTATGAAATACAAGTGCTATTCATTGTTTGACAGATGCCGGTAATGGATGGGTTCGAGGCAACAAGACGTATACGGGAGGAGGAGACATATTACGGTGTTCACATACCCATCATTGCATTGACTGCTCATACAGCAGGTGAGGAAGCAGGAAGGATGATCGAAGCTGGATTGGATTTTCATTTAACCAAGCCTCTGAAAAAGGAACAGCTATTGGAAGCCATCAAATACATCCATAGTAAATGAAATAGCATCTATCTTTAGTCCTCTTTTACCTTTTTTTTCTTCTAGTACTTGTGTACATTGTCTGTTCTTTTTGGTGAATTTATATGATTATGCAAAAATATTTTAATTGTATTCCATGTGAATACAAAAATAAAATTTTCTATTTTTTGTGCAATTCTTGACTTCCCAGTTGGTTCTAACATAATGTTAAAAGTTTTTCTTTGCTAATAGTTTAATAGTCATTTTCATGAAAGATTACTCCTAGAATTAAAGTAAACATATTATCTTTAAGTTTTGATTAAGGCCAAAGCTCTCATAATGGTTAAAATTGTTAGAGTAATATCGAACAGAGAGGAAGAGTTAATTACTCCCACAGGACATATCAATAATCACTTTGATCAAGCAATTACAATCTCTTACACTCAACTCATATACACTTTCAGCCTAATTGATTTTTTATTTTTTTATTTTTAATAGAGAAGAAGATAAATTACCCCTTCAAAATGGAGTGCAAGTACACTTTTTTAAGTTATTGTGAACTGTGGGAGTGTTTTTGAAATATAAAATTGTCATTTTATTTTTGTTTTTTAATGACACTGTGTTAATTGATGTGTTGGAGATACATCAATGTGTTAAATTCAGTTATTTCAACTTCTATTGATCTTCAAGTATATGTTGTATGATGCACCATGTGTGATGGTGAAAAGTTTGTTGTTTTATGGATGATAATATTTCAAGGTATTACCAATCTTCATTAGCTAACTTGAGCAAACTCTGAGATGTGCTTTGACAGATGCTTTAATAGAGAGATTCCTATGGTTGATATTTCTAGCTTAGCTTTTGTTTTGTTTTGGAAACATGTTTATTAAAGGATCTTACCATTTTAATTCTCTTTGCTCTTTTTCTTTATATATTTATGTAGGTAGTGGGTTCTGATCACAGTAATATGAGTCCTAATAAATGGTGAAAAGTTTGTTGTTTTATGGATGATATTACTTCATTCGGCTTATTCGCAGTGGCAACATTAACTTCATTTGGCTTATTGGCAGCGGCAGTAGTTGAGCATTAATAGTCTATCATGACACGTGTTTCACCATTCCCTTGGTTGAGCTCACTATTTCAAGCATGCTTTAGTGTCTCATCCACCATTTCAAAATCCTTGAAGTGTCCCATGTAACTTTGTGTTGTTATCTTGGGGCTCCTATCTGTGCCCTCTCGATACCACCAGTTTTGAAGGCTTGTGACTCAAGGTCTAGGCATCGATGTGTATTTGTTCTAAAATTGTCTCAGGGTCTATAGGACACGATGATTTGGCACTTTGCAGTTTGGGTCTCAATGAGTCTTGCTCAAGGTTTGCTAGACATGAATTTGTCTCGGGGTTTTAACGACTCGGGGAACATTTCTCGAGGTTTGGGACTCGAGGGGCAACGCTAGAGGTTTTTGACCTAATTTATTTCAAGGTTTCTTAGGATTGAAGTTCAGGACTCGAATGGTTTACATTTGAGGTTTTGTTTGACGTGAGAATGTTTAAAGGTTTTCTTCACTCAAGAATTGCTTTACTAGACGGCTGCTGCTGGAGGTCTATTAAGAGCAGCTCCAATGGCCCATAATTTAGAGATTCTGGACCTTTTTTAGCTATTGGACTGCTCCAATAGAGTCTCCAAAAAATGGGCCCCATGTTCTGGGTTGCAGAATGGGTCGCCCTTTTTGGCTACCCAATTAGCGATTGCAGGCTTCTGATGTGTGAGCCCATCCATTGTTTGGATTTTAAACTTTTGTAGCCTAGCAAAACTGTAGCACGGAATACATTTAAGGGCGTGTTTGGCAGTGAAAAAATTTCCAAAAATTAGTTTTTTTTTTTTTCCCTTAAGATAATTGAACTAAAGAGCCGTTAAGGCGCTGTTTGTGTCAGCCAAACAGTGCCTTAAAGGCTTTTTTGGGCCAAAAAATGTTTTAAAAAATTGAAAAAAAGTTAATTTTTTTTTTTTTAATGTTTCTATTGACATTATATTAGTTTTAGGTATTGTTTGGCTGACCCAAACAGTGCCTTAACTGCTATATTGACTAACCAAACAATTTTTTTCTCCTAAAAATAGAAAAAAATAATTTATTAAATATGTAAAAAATATTAAAATATTAATATTTGTGTAAAGCGAAAATGCACTATTGGAGTACATGCGATGACTAAAAATTAAAAATTCTAAAACGTTAACGTGATTATGAAAAATGCTAAAGTGATTATTAAAAATTGTTAATGTGACAAATTAAAGAACCAAAATCTATTGGAGATGCTCTGAAATTGGGAAGTTATCGAGTATTTGTTTTGAATCAAAGTGTTCTTTTATCTTGACCTAAACTGACGTGGTCTTTGTTTCATTTTTGGTGATGTGACCTTGGTTTTACCTTTGCTGACTTTACTAGTACACGTAAGCAGTGTATTTATATGCCTCCGTTGTAATTGTAGGTGAACTATCAGTTTTCACTTTCTTTTTTTTATGAATATGACATTAAACAGAGGTGGATCAAGAAGTAGATATCTGTTGTTTGCTATGAATAGATTTTTTTTCCGTCATCTTTTTGTACTTCCAGAGTATATAATTATTTCTGATTTTTAGAGAATTTGAATGGTGCCATCTTCTTAAGCATGGCATCTATCATTAGACGATAAATGGGTTAATTTTTATAGATGCTATCTTATGCACAACAAGATACCTAAATCCAATTGTTGTAAATATTACTAACGGTTAGTGCTCATCAGTATCAGCTTCTTATTTCTTAAAAAAAAATTAGAGGTTTAAGTTTCAGAAGAGGTGTGTGTGTGAGTACCCAACTAGAAAAAAAAATTTATTGTAAATCCTTTTCTTGATATGTTTTGAGAATTGAAACCCTTAATGGGTTATTTTATTTGGTGCTTTGTAAAAAGTAATGTCAATTGAAATTGATTAGGCTGTGTTTGGTGACATGGAATTGGAATCTTGGAATTAGAATTGGAAAAAATTTTGTGAGTTATTTTTTTTTTTCAATTCCACCGATTTCAATTCTAAAGCTCCAATTTCATGCATGCCAAATATAACCTTAGGGTTTGTGAAGACCCTGTAAATTAATCCGAGTTTAAGCTTCATTGGCATTCACCTCGAAATTTTTTAAGGCCAACTCTACATTTTTAAACAGGTGGAACAAAGTTTCCAGTTTTTACTTTTAGGAAGCTCTTCTCTTCCCTAGAGAATAGGCGTACTAGCACTTTCATTCGGCTCATTTATGAAGTCACAAAAATAGATAATTAAAAGCAAAAAATAGACAAATCTGCTCATGCTATTTCAGGTGAGGCAAACAAGGCATTAAGGAAGTTTTGGCCTTGCATTCTTTTTGGCATTCATTTCTTGTACCTTTTTTTGTTTTTTGTTTTTTTGTTTTCTTTTAGCTATTTCTTGTTATTAAAACCACATCCAACATTACAGACCACCAGGAACTGTCACATTTTCACGAAAAAAATAATTCTTTCTTCAGGGGCTGCCTTTTCTGTTTTTTCTTTCTTTCTGGGAAAGGTATTTTAGACTTTGTAGTTAGGCAAGACAAATATTGAGATAGCTATCTCGAGATGGTACTTGTGCAAACGTTGGGAGTTGTGGTAGTTTACGGTTGCATAGGCCACAAAAAGTAGAGTTGTTTCTAGGTGCTAAGGTCTGTTTGGTTCACATTTTGTTTTTACTTTTTTATTTTAATCTGAAACAAAATAAGTGTTTTGTTGTAGATTGCTTTCAACAATAATCGAAAGCATGTTTTGTAATGCCCATTTATTACAAGATTTTTGGAAGCAAAAGTATGAAAAATGTATTTGGTAAAAAAATGTTGCAAGTTTAAAAATGTCATTTAAGAGAGTTCTTCAAATATATATATTTTTTACTATTCATTGCTATAATATCCGTTCCTACATTGCTGTAATATATAAAAATGTCAAATTGAATTTTTGATTCTTGGTCACTATTCACGAAATATTTTAGCACCGTGCAAAGCAAAACATTTTGGCCACTATTCAAGAAACGTTTTAGTATTGTGCAAAACAAAACAATTTTCCCCAAATGAGTTGTTTTATTTATCACTGCTACAATACTGGACAAAAATAAAAATACGAAAAATAAAACGTGTACCGAAAAATTTCCTTTTCAAATTCATCCATGACCCCTTTTTAGTGGTGAATAAATAAATGGAACTTATCCTTCATATGTTATTTGTAATAATACCTTTGCATTTGCATTTCTTTTCACTTGAATATGTTTAAGTTTGTGAGATATATTTTTGTAATTGGCATATTTCAGTAACAAAACAAGTCCTAATCGAGTTGTACTTTCAGTTACTATATCAGACTTGACATTGACTGTGGAATTCAGAGGTTGTTCAGAAAAGGAAAGTACAGTTGATCATCGAAAAGGAAAGAACAACATATTAGGATTTCGTTTCCCACTTAGGACACAATTACCTACAAGGTATATTTTCAGAGTTCCAAAAATACAGAAAATCCAAGTTAAAGTTGGATTCTGTCAAGTGGGAACCGGTACCTACATTTGGGAACCGGTTCCACAAGCTAAGATTTGAGAACATCTTTTTGTCCTTTGGGAACCGGTACCAAGATTAGGAGCTGGTTCCAGAAGTCCTGATTGCAAAAGGTTTATAGTTTTATTGTTCTGTTTAATTCCTTTTTGATTCAACTTTCCTTTCAAGTCTTATGCACAAAATTTCCTTTACTTTCAGAAGGAATAGGACTTTGCAAACCTCTATATAATCATGTCATACACATAGGTTTATTCACGGCTTTACATCATTATTCATAGATCATACAAAGCCTTAGGAAGTTTATTCCTCTCAGAAAATCAAAGTTGATTTTTTCTGTTGTCTTCCTAGAACACACACATATTCACCTAGTGAGGTTAGAGTTATGGAGTTCGAATCCTGATCGTGATCATACAGTTGTATCTATATCGATCAGAAAAAAGCAGATCTTCGTCTGCATCAAGTGCAGACGG